TCCTACTGAATCGCCGCGGCACTAACATAGGCCTGTGCGGGCTAAAGCTCTGTTCATCCAGCTCTACACCTTGTTACCTCAGGCTGAATTATGTCTGATTAACGTGTACCTATTCAATATAATGCATCCAACCTCCTGTTGGATGATCATTATACTGATTGTTGTGTGTAGCTAATGGTTGCCTGCCTCAGCAGGACACTCAAGGTCATTATTTACGACTTGAACTTTAGCCCGCACAGGCCTATGTTAGTGCCGCGGCGATTCAGTAGGATGTTATCCCTCATGAAATGTAACGATCATGGGGAGTTCTGTTGTGTCCCACCAGCAGCTGCCCATAGAAAAGAAAGGGCACCCCCTAAAGTTTTTTTTTTCAATATTGTACTGGAGCTTTTGATGGAGAAGGAAGAAAGGAGGAGAGTTGTCCTGTATCTACAGGGTGCCAAATGAGTGGGCAGAAAAATAATTGGCCAAAGTGAATGCCAGGAATTTGGCCCAAAGGATTTGGCTGTAGTTTCATGATCTCTTTCAAGTGGTTAAAGTTGGGGTATGTATCTTCAGTTGGGTGCCTATTTGTCCCGTTCTATACCAAACAGCCTGGTTTTCAGATGGTCTAGCCATTGCTCTCTTTCATCCGAGCTCCCACACAAAAAAAAGAAATGGCTCTGACTGGGCCTCTATCTGCTGTTATCAGTGGTGAGGAAGGCATCTCGCCTTCCTTTCTCAGGCCACTAGTTAACATAGCAGTCAAGCCCTGACAACAATGATTCCTTGTAAGCTGGGGGGAGAAAAGTACCGAGTGCAAAAATTCCTCAGTCACAATTTTTGCATTCGTTGCAGCAAAAGTGAAAATCCATCTACATAAGTCAAAATCAGCCCACTTACAGAGGAAAGTACAGCTTAGTTATTTTCTCAATTCGCTTAGCATGGTGGTATTCAGGGATTCCTTTCACTTGCATCATTTTACAGAACAGTTTAGTTACCTCATGCCTTTTTAACGGAAACACTTCTCATTTCATCGGCATTCATGGAAAGTTTACAGCACCATCACCAAGAAACAATTTTATACTGACTTGATAGAGGTGTACAAAATAAACAGAGGTATAGATAGAATGGATAGCCAGAGACTTTTTCCTAGGGTGGAGTTAGCTATTACGAGGGGGCATAGGTTTAAAGTGAGTGGAGGTAGATATAGGGGAGACAACAGAGGTAGGTTCTTTACTCAGAGAGTGGTCGGGGTGTGGACTGCATTGCCGGGGGGGGCAGCGGAGTTGGCCTTATTAGGGGCATTTAAGCGGCTATTAGATAGGCATTTGGATGATAGTATAAGGTTGGGATGGAGGTTAGATAGACCTTAGGTTTAGGGTAAAAGTTCAGCACAACATCATGGGCTGAAAGGCCTGTACTGTGCTGTACAGTTCTATGTTCTAAATGCGATGAGAATTAATTTATGAGAATACTGCAGGTAAATGGAAAGTGATTGTAATAGATTTATGCATATTAAAAATTCAAAGGGTGGCCTTAACACAGTCTTGAAATGTCTTACATAATCAATGAATCAAGAGAAGACAGGTACTGCGTCCAAGCATGTAGGTACCCAACGGTACATATAAAGATGTAGTTGTTTTAAAATGCAAGCAATACAATTCTATCAGCACTTGTGAATGAGTGGCAGGCAACAATGTTTGAATAAGTGTGACAGGAGTTGTGCTGGTTATTTTCATTCACTGTACCTTCTGAGGAAGATTTTGACAGGATGGAAATGACTAGATGTTGGCATCATTTATACCTGTCCCCAATGATGTAATAATTCCCAGGGGAAACCTCTTTATCTAGGTCATTCTCAGCACCCCTGAAAACAGCAGCCCCGTATATTTATTTGACAAGACTTCTGCCATTGATGGTGGCACTGTTTTGGGACTATAACACGAATTGTGCAGATGAACAGTGCAGCAATATGTTTAGTGAGCAATAGTGATTACATTACCAGATGAGTAATCCAGAATCCAGGGACAATAATTTTAGTTAAAGTTTAGTCACCCAGGTTTGGGGATTTAATTTCGGTTCTTTTTAAGCTCAAAAATAGGAAGGTAGCCTCAACAAAATCTATCATGGACCAATCTGATTGTTACAAGAACTCAAAAGTTCAAAACTGTCTTTTTGGAAAGAAAACCTGATGGTCTTACTCCTGATCTGGTCTATATGCAAAGTTGCTGATGCATAACTAGCCTCTGAAGTGGCCCGGCAAGACCCTTTTTCAGGGATTTTTCATTTTGATTCATGCAATTTGCAATATAGCTTCACTCATTGAACTCGGACGAAAGACTGCTGCCATAGACTAATGCCTTGTGATATAGCTGTACCTCTGCCTTAGGGCTGCACCTGGTGCATCACATATCAGGTCCAAAATGCTTTGTGTATTATCCTTTTAAGTATTCTTGAGAGTTCAGTGTTACCAAGAAGCTTTCTTGTCATTCACTATCTTCAGAAATGAACAATATCTGTTTTTCTTGTGAGATCTGCTGGATTACATCATGTGTGCTTCATATGGACTTTATTGCTTAATTAAATTTGTAGATCCCACACTGATCACCATATTGTGCGCATTGCTATCCATATCTTCCAAATGGGTGTGTTCCTTATGTGGTCTACTCTGTGCAAGAATAGTCACCTTGTTCTCTAGTGAGACTAGTCTTGTAGCATAAATAAGATGTATTTACTGCTTCCCTGAAACTCTTTACTGCTTTTACAAATAGACTCCACATTACAACAGAGAATGTTGGAAGGACGTACCTTAGGTCTGTCTCCTGTGAGATCCTACTTTTCTCTTCCACTAGGCCTTCATGACAACATCACAGCGCATAGTGCTTCTTGCACTCAAATCAAATATTAACCCTTTCAAACCCACGTAAACTCCTTAAACAGGATAAAGAAGACAAGCTTCCATTCCCTGAAACACTTAAACGAATCAGTTGGGTGTTTTCAACAATCACCCAACAGCTTCATAGTCACTGTTTACTAACTCCGGCCAATTATTTCCAGATTTTTAAACATTAAATTCAAAATTTTAAAACTGTCATTTGAATTTGTGCTTTCTGAATTATTATTCTAAGCATATGGGTTACAGGTCTATCAGTCACATGAATTACAACACTTTTTCGTTTAATCCAGTTGAGTTCACTACTCAGCAGCACCAACATTCTCCTTTGATTGTATTTTCTTAGAGGGAAGGACCTGTCATTGTTTCAGTGTTGCTCTGTGGTTGAGCTGAACATTTGAGGGTTTTTCAGGGTAAACCAAATCCCATCATGTAGCTCCGTATAATATATACCGTTAATTTAGTGGAATTCACTTAAAGTTATGTGCACTGGGTTTAGAATGTGTCACCGGGCCTCACAGAATAAGTTTTTCTGTTTCCTAATGATTTTTCAGTTCCCAGGCGGAATGAAGCCGCAGTGTTTAGACCTCTTCTGGGCAAGGAAGAAATCACTGTACAGGAACCACTTATTGATGGTAAGGCTGAAATTTGCTTGTGACATTGAACCTCTAAAAGTGGATGATTCCAGTGCTATAACTTGCAGTCAGCATACTGTCACCACAGGTTTGAAGGGGGTCCTTGCCTGAACATCTCAACTGCAGCAGTGCTAATAGGTGGACGATATGAGATGAGCCACCCACTTGCTCAATATACAGCACCAGCGTCCCCATTGAAAGTGGAAGCAATTTTAGTTTGTGGGCAAAAGACCTGGGCTTCATTTAAATGCTGTAAGTGCCAAACAAGCTTTCCAGTAGAGTTTCACTGAACTCAGGCAGGTTCCACCGCAGTTGGCAGTGAAGTTAGAGCATGGAGCAGGAAGATGACCAGGTGACCAAGTCCAAGTTGGCAACAGCCTAGATTAATTTTTAGGGCACTGAGTGGAATAATTGTCCATCTATGCTTAAGAAGAATAATCAAAATGTCATATTTTGGGGTCTCTTTTTATAACATTGACAGTGAAACGCCAGAAAGTGCTTCAAATACTTTGGTCCCAAAATGATATTCATTTTGTCCACCACATTTATATATTGGAAGGTGCACAAAACAGGCAGACACCTCAACTACCCAGTGGTAGACCTTGAAAAATGCAAGGTGAATCTGTGAGGGAAGTCCACCAACCCTGTTTTATGGCCAATTAACACAAATTCACCAAGTTAAAAATCAACTCCAAACTGCTCATGGCTAAAAAAAAGTCATACAAAAGAGGTTTACCGAGTAATTGATTCAGTTCTCTGTGTTTCCTTGAAACAGAACAGCACATCAGTTCTGTAGAGTGAGAGATGGTGGCATAATGGTAATGTTACTGGCAAGTAATCCACAGACCTACTCTACTGCACTGGTTAACATGGTTTCAAATCTCAGCATGGCAGCTATGGAATTTAAGTTCAAATTTAAAAAAAAATCTGAAATTGAAAGCAAGTCTCTGTAATTGTAACATTCCAAAGGAGTCACAAACAAATTCCTTTTGATAAACTGGCAGTCTTTAAACTACTATGATACTTGCTAAGTAAGTTCAAGACAAGCCAGGGATCCTACGCAGCTATCCCTATCATTGTGACCTAAATATAAATCCCAGCTGCACTTATGCAGAGGCATAAACAATGCTGCATGTTACCAAAGAAGGTCAGCATTGGAGAATAACTGGAGCACTAATCACCTTAAACCCAGCAAATGAGACAGTACTGCTTGACCCTGGGGATTTTCGATCACCAAATTAAAAAAAAATAGTGATTATGAATCTATTATTAGTTGTTTCAAAACCTCATTTGGTTTACTCATGTCCTTGAGGGAAGAAAATCTGTCATCCTTTCTGCTGCATAAAAGTCTCGAGACCCTGGAGTCATCTTATGCTGGTGTCTTGAAGTTGTACATCACCAAATGTAAATAGCACAATATGGGCAGAGTTAGAACACTTAAGACTCTGGAAGATGCACATGAACACACAAAGAGTATAGATTAGTCTTTGCCTAATGTAACAACAGATCAGAGCTTGGTATATTTATGATTATCATGCACAGTATTAATGTATGATAAATATTGTTACTTTAATGCCTTCTCCTTGACCGGTCTGTCTTGCATCCAAACGTAAAGGCTGGTATCAAACCATACAATAGAAAACTTAACTGGTCTAGCTGACACACAAATCCAGTCCAAGCAATGCCTTTTTCACTCGGTTCAAAGGGCAATTGAGGACAGGCAACATATATTGCTCTTGTCAGCAATACCCACATCCCATAAAAGAATAAAGGAAATTATGTGTGAGAAAATCAGGCATGACTCCTCTGGCTCAATATTCTCTTCATCTAAAAGAGATTAGTCACCCATTTCCTTAAGTAACTTCTTTTAAATGCACATCTGCATGTTTTCTAGAAATGAACTTCTGCTAGGTGGACCTCAAAGGAGAGAAAGTGAGCATAACATGGTAGTCTATTAATTCAACTACTTGGATTATGAACAAGATGCTCAAGAATAGCAGGAGGTGTGCCTATGCCAATGAAATCCTAGTACTTGCTAAGGTATTTGGCAGAAGTGGTATTGGTCTTGTCCCAAAGATGGAGGTTTATAATGCAAGGCTGCTCCAAGATTTAACAAAGAAGATGGCATAAATTAAGAACTAGCAATTTCATAGCACAAAGCTGGGTACACAAAATGGGTGACAAATTGGCTTCCCGTTATGTATTCTACAAGCTTTTCCTTTTTCATTCCAAAGTTAATTAAAACCGCTTGATTCTTAAAGTCTTGGAAGAAAGAAACTGACGACGGTCTTGGAGAAGAACTAAATTAGAGAGGGAGATTCCAATGATAAGTTTTCATTTCCACAAAATGGAGGATAGGAGGAGCCAATAGGATGAGGTATCCGAAATTCAGAGGAAATGCAACAGGAAAGTTCAAAGGATTGCTGGCCATGAAAGACTTGATAAAATAGAAAAGTACCATAAATGTTACCTGAGGGTGTACTCATGATGAACATTGCTTCACAGGGCTGATAGGAAGAACCTTTCAGCAAGTAGACAGTGCACTATTTCAGGGATGAAAATGTGTGGCATGGGATGGCTCCACCATTGGGAGAATTTTTAAGTCTCTTCAGTAACCTTTATCAAAGATTTCAATTGTAAAGGACATTAAAATAAATTAATATCTCAGTTGATATTGATTAAATAAGAAAGCTTCTGTAATTTATTCTGTAATTTATTTTAGACTTTTCTGTGGACTGCAGTTTTAATCAAGGAGTTTGTGAGTGGGTGCAGGACACAGAGGATAACTTTGACTGGGAAGTCGCTGATCGGCCTAATGGTAATTACTGTTTCAATTAAGGTACATCTTACTGGAAAGACAATTAATTTTTAATCTAAAGTATTGCTTATAACATCATGTAGCCAGGCATATGTGTGTGCTTGTTTTAAGTGATTGGATCATTGACATACATCTGGAAATTAGAATATTGGGGCAGTAATTTTCATCATCAGATTACTTCTGTCAATTACCATTTGCAAAGTAATTACATTTGCATCAACAGTTTGTATAATGATGTGATGAAGATATCAATGCCTTATGATTATATAAAGAGCGTGAAGAAGACAGAAGCTCTATCTAGGTCTTGAGAGAATGGTTGTACCCATTAAGCTGTAAGGAAAGAGTTTTTCCAGATTACTCAATCAACTCCAGCACCAAGACTTTGGATGATAAAAGGGAGTTCGATCTCATACACAGAACAAAACACTATTGTGCCCAGTGAAGCACCACAGTGAAGCAGATAGGCACCACCCATAGTAATACCTTGGTTGATATGCCTTAAAGATACTGTTAAATCTTAAAGTACTTATAAAATAACCAGAAGGAAGATTAAGAGGAACATTTTTTTAAATACAGCAAGTTGTTGTGATTTGGCAAATATTGCAGTGTTTCAAGAAAACAGCAAAGGAGCAGATTTTTAGAATTGCTGTGCCAAAGAGCCAGCATGGATATTTGGGCTGAATGATTTTCTTATGTGAATATATTTCTTTTATGTGACATGTGATTCCATGAAATCTTCCCAGGAGGCTTGATGTCCTTGTATGATGATCAGACCAGCTTTTACATTCACGCTTTCCCTCTATTTGTTTCCTTACAATCACCATCTTGATCTTTATCCTGTCTTCTCTTCCATGCTCCTAGCTCATATGCTATGTCTTTCCTTCCCTCTTGAATGTACTAGTTTTTAAATGCCAACTTGCCACCAGATAATCACTACTCATTGAATGATGTGTGTTGGTCCATGTCTGGGAGAGAATTGTGACTTTGATGGTGTGTATGTATGTGAGATTGTGCATGTGGCATATGAGAAATTGTGTGAATGTCCTTGCATCGTGTACATGTGATGAATTGTCTTTTTTATCTTCATTCATAGGATGTGGGTGTTGCTAGCTAGGCTAACATTAATTCGACTCATCCATAATTATCATTTAATAACTAGTGTTAAGGTGTACTTTTGAATTATTGTAGTCCATGTCATGAAGTTAGGAAAGACATTCAGGATTTTACCCCACTGAAGGAGCAGTAATATATTTCAGGATGGTGATTTGTTTCTAGGTTAACTCACAGGTAGCAATGTTCCCATGGATCTGCTGCCCTTGTCCTTCTTGGTGGAAAAGGTTGCAGGTTTGGAGGGAGGTGTCCAAAGGGCTTTGGTCAGTTTTTGCCAGTCTATGTCAACGTTGGAGGGAATGAATGTTTGTGGATAGCTAATCAAGCAGACTGCTTTCTCCTGGTTGGTGTCAAACTTCTGAAGTAGCTGAAACCAGCCAGGCAAGTGTGGTATATTCCATCACACTCATGACTTGTACCTTGTAGGTAGTAGACAGATGTGAGCCACTCACCACAGAATTTCCAGTCCTTGACCTATTCTTATAGCCACAGTCTTATAATGGCTGGTCCAGTTCAGTTTCCCAGGATGTTGAGAATGGGGGTATTAGAAATGGTAATGCCAGTTAATGTTAAAGAGCTGTGGTTGAATTCTCTCTTATTGGAGACGGTCATTGTGTGACATGAATGTTGCTTGGCATTTATCGAACCAGCCTGAATGTTGTCCTGGTCTTGCTGCATTTGATCATGGACTAATTCAGTATCTGAGGAGTGGTGAATGGTGCTGAACATAGTGCTGTCATTAGCAAACATCTCCGCTTCTGACTTTACGATGGAGGGAAGCTCATTGATGAAGGAACTGAAGGTGGTTGGACCTAGGACACTACTCTGAGGAACTCCTGCCGAGATGTTCTGGAGCTGAGATAACTGACCACCGACTAACATGATCTCTTCCTTTGTATTAGGTATGGCTACAACCAGTGGAGAGTTATTTTTTCCCCAACTCCCAATAACTCTAGTTTTACTAGGGTTCCTTGATACCTTGCTCAGTCAAATGCTACCTGGATGTCAAGAACAATTACCCTTACTTCCAAACTTGAGTTCAGGCCTCTTATCCATATTTGAGCCAAGGCTGTACTGTGGCAAGGACTGAGTGAACCTGGCAGAAACCAATCTACGTGTCAGTGAGCATGTTATTGTTTAGTAAGAGTCATTTGTAAGTGTCCCCCTGAATAAAGAATAAACTTGATAGCACTATCAACAACATCTTCCATCATTTTGCTAATGATTGAGGGTAGACACATGGGTGATAATTTACTGTGTTAGATTTGTCCTGCTCTTTCTTGAAAGTACAATCCTGGAGAATTTTCCACATTGCTGAGTAGATGCCAGAATTATTTCATGTTGTCACACGTTGTTTTCAACTTTGTAGGCAGCCTGAATTCAAAGCTTCAACCTCTAACTATGTTTCAATTACTGCATTAAAGAATAATTTTTATTTGAAAAACTGCTGCTACTCTAAATTGACTCTCTTATTAACCATTTCTATTTTCCGTTCACAAGGCAATGGACACTATATGGCAGTCCCAGCCATAGTCGGTCTTAAGAATCAGGTTGGTCACTTGAAGCTACTCATTAGTGATTTGACTCCAAAAAAGGATACCTGTTTGACATTTAAGTATCGGCTTGTCGGAGAAAGGGTCGGAAAACTGCGGATATTTTCGAGTATCAAAGATTCTGCAATCTGGGAGAAGACTAGAGATAAAGACGAAGGGTGGAAGGTTGGACACATCACAGTAGCAGCTAAAAACAGTTCTGAAACCCAGAGAAATGTAAGTCAGTGAACTACACACCACATTTATTGAGAAAAGCAGTTACAGTTTTTGATTGATAGGAGTGATAAGGAAAGGGAATTAATGGTTGTTTTGATAGCTTCATATTACACACAATGTGCAAGGGGAGCTGTAATCTCAACAATCAAAGGATCTTAAACTATTGGGATTAAACACTCATGCAACTAAAATAATTCATCTAGAAATTAAGCAAAATGTGACATGTGAGTGCTCCTCACTGGAATGCATGTGCTGAAAAACTAATGTACCATAAGCTGTGGTGCAATTTACATAGCTGGGAGTTCTAGCTTCTCTCTAATGCTTGACCTAACTCGCCACATTTTAGACCTAACATTGAAATGCAAGTTCTTTTTCCTCCCTTTACCTTGATGAAATGAATTGTAAAGGCAAGAAATGAATACAAGGAAGCTTTTAAGTATGGCTTCATAAAATCCTGCTAAATTTGTAGGAACTGAGTAGCTCTAGTAAATCTACATGGTCAAACACACATGTGAAATCATGAAAAACATTTTTTCCTTCAATAGTCATCAACTTGCTATCAAAATCATAGGAACAGACAGTTTTGAAATATGAGCTGATGTTGTTAGTGTATCTCACATTATGGAGAGGCCAGGTATTTCTCTCTTCTTCACTAAGGCACAGATCAGCTCCTAACCCTGTACGATTAGCTATAATAGCCAGAGAAACAGTTACTTTTCTGTGAACCAAATTTGATTTTATGTTTGGCGATCACCAAACGTTGGGAAGATCACAAATTGCAAAATGCAATTTTCCCAGTGACAAGAAGACATTTGTCAGAAAGTGAGGCAAGAAAATGCCAATAAACAAACAGAAAATCTGAAACAAAGCTCGCACAAAACCATCAGCAGTATTTTGCTCTTATTTGGATGTCAATGAAACTGAGCAGACTGTTTAAACAATGCAGATCAGAATCCTCCAGAGGTATCCATGGAGAAAGCATTTACAATCGACCTGTCTTTTCAAAGCAAGAGTTTTATTTTCAAACATTTTGCAAACACAGTTTCTCAAAGACATTGTTTCTTAAAAGGGACAATTTTTGTCAGATGTGTTTTTCTGTGTCTGAACCTATTGTAAAGCTGTACCATAGCGATACTTTCAATTGTACAGAATGCAATCGAAGCAATCAGTTAAAGTTTGGAGCAGGGAAGGTGCTTTAGTTCCTTCTAGTTTCCCTGGAAGAGCACTGCTAAAATTAAATCTTTCAAACCTGCATGCTTGGCCCTTCTATGCCTGCAATTCAGCTCCCAGCAAGTCACGATATCCCCACTCAGACCCGTCCATTCTGTTGAGAAGCAGCTGAGTTGTTTTAAGTGAAACAATGTGGAATAAGGCACCAGACATCTACAGAAGGGCAAGCAGAAAGAGGAAGGCTGCAGGACACATTGGATATATTAGGAGATCATCACTAAAACAAAAGGCTGCCCATCCAGCAGCAGGGGAAACAATGTTTTAATTGCAAGAAGTTACAATACAATTTGCATGCAAGTGTTTAACTAGGAAGAAGTCAAAAAAGGCAATAAAAACCTTAGAGATGATTGCAATAAAGGTATGGGACAATGATTCTGACAAATTAAGTGTGGGTTTTCGAGAAATGGCAGATGAAGATTGGGACGACTCCATGTACATCTTACATTAGTTTTGCAGTATGAAACCTGAAGGACAAAAATGCTTTGTAACTATTACAATAAAGACAGAAGGGCAGCATCAAATGAATGTGAAATGCCAGATAAACCCTGGTGTTTCCTGAAACATAATGAGCTTCCAGGCGATCCAAAAGTGAAATCCTTGAAGTTTCTGTGATGGAAAGATTCTCACCCCAAGACATACTATTAGTCTGTCAACCCAATGCTATGGCAAGGGTAAAGATGCAGATTTCAAGATCTTCAATACGATGATAAAGCAATTCATCTCAACAGAAGCAGTGAAAGACTTGGACTAATAATCTTAAAATGTTTCAGAAGAGATTCACAATATTTCACAGTACACATTGACTGAAAAACAAACAAAACAGCGTTGTAACAGAACGTGTTCACTTGCAGATTGACAAAGGAAATAAAGACTGGCTGAAAACAGTTAATACAGCTAAAGGAAAAGAGGTTTCTAAGGCAATAGTATAAATCAGAGTCAGCTGAGAAGATTTCTAAACCAAACCAAAGAACACATCACACCAACCGGCAGACATTGGAGAGGAACCCTACAATCCACAAACATACCATCTCGAAACACATTATGCCTGTGATCTTTTTTTCAAAAAAGTTGTCCAATTAATCATGCCCTCCACTTACTCTGTCTTTATGGCTATGAGAGTTTCAAAAGGGTTTTTTTTGTGTATCTGTATGAGAGATGGATAACTTTTACTTAGATCACCATTTTCAAAATATATATATTTATTTAAAAATTGATGCCTATTGCTGTCAAGGACCAAAGTGAGGTAAATATTTATGATTGATCATTCCAAATAAATTATAAAATGGAAAATGATAGAACAGAGTAACATAGTTTACTAACCAACAGATTAGGGTCTTTTCAGGGTTCACAGTTTTAACAGTCATTAGAATTTGTTCATTATGAGTTGTGGCACTGGACGGTTCTTAAATTATGTCTTAAAACTTAAACCATGATCTGCCTCCATACTCCAAGGTACCTACAAATGTTTGAATTGTCGATTTATATTTATATGTGGCCCACCATAACATGCACCCAAAATAGTCCATACAGACTAAAACTTCTACATTCAGTTTCAAACAAAGCTTGAGAACTTAAAAAGTCAAACTATTAACATAATATAATTGCTCAAAAGCTCTCTTCTTTTACCCCAAAGGAATCATTACTTTTGTGGAATTTAGTTCTGAAGCAAAGGAAATTGGCATGCAGCTGCATTTGATATTTTCTGCAACAGCAATAATTTTTTTTTGTGAACACATATCTTAAAAAAATTTATGAGCTGTACAGTAATACATTATAGTTAACTTGTACTAAAAACCAGAACAGAATCATGCTTGCAACTTAGCAACACTCTTTTCAACAGTGGTATTTCACTGTAGCCTAATTATAATTATGCTAAAGCGCTTCCTTTTTCAAAAAAAAATACACTAAATTTAGTCAGTACATTTGGGGACTCGGCCGAGGAAGGGATCTGCTCTAGTTGGTGAATGGAAGTGCTACTTCTGGACCACAAGAAACCACGTAAAAGTACAATTTTCCTTTGGAAGGACCTTCTTCGGAGGGTCAGTTCAGACTTGATGGGCTGAATGGCCTCCTTCTGCACTACAGGGATTCTATGATTCTATGATTTGGGAGCCAGAAGCTCCTGAGAAATCCACAGTTCTAGCATGTTCTTCATTTATTGTTAAATTTAATTCACACTACTGGTGTTTCAATCAGGCTACTACTCGGGTCTGATAATTAGGATGCTGCCTGGCTTTTTATGAGAGTTTGTCTTTGGCCTGATTTCATTTGAAATTTAAAATTTAAAAGGGATGGCAATACATTATAGTTAACTTGTACTGAAAACCAGAACAGAATCATGCTTGCAACTTAGCAACACTCTTTTCAACACTGGTATTTCACTGTAGCCTAATTATAATTATGCTGAAGCGCTTCCTTTTCTAAAAAAAAATACACTAAATTTAGTCAGTAGATTTGGGGACTCGGGCCTGTGCTGCTCTTTGGGGCTTTTTTTTAATCTCCTTTGTCCTCTCCCAGCCAGTTGGGTAACGGCGTAATTAAAAAAAAATCACAGTTATAAATTGTACAGAAATATGGTGCATTAAACCTCTAAAGCTATGAGCAGAAGAGTAAACTCCTTCAACTCTAATTCCTCCAGATCTTAGTTATATCAATAATCAGGAGTCAATGAGCCAATCAGAAATGCAGAAGTATTGACAAAGACTGGCAAAAAAAAAATCATTATTTTACTCATTCTTGGGAAGTTAGCATCCTGCTCATGTCCAACATTTATTGCCAATTTAGTTGGCCTATGAAAATGATAATGATTGGCCTTTTTTTATAAACCTCTGTAAGTCCATGTTTGTGGCAATCTGACACAAATAAAGGCTTTGCTAAGTCACATCTGAAAGGACATTAGTGCACTTGTTGCATTTTTATGACATGCTCCAGATCACAATACATGTTGTTTTCTTTCATTAATACTTATTTTAAAAAAACTGAATTCAAATTCTGAACATCTCTGGATAACTAATCCAATAAAATATTTTGGGTATGTTTTGCAAATGGAAACTGCTAGAATGCCAATATAGTTCTGCTATGAAACAAGATGCCATGAAAGATCAACAAGCTCTGGATAAAATATGTCAAGATTCACTGGTCACAAAGCCAACTTAAGTGGCTGGCGTTAGTCTAGAATTAACAGCAATGGAACAAATTCTATCAGCACCATTGTTGCTATTGAGTTGACAGACGGGAATTCAGTATTGCTCGTAAGAGCAACAGAACCTCTATATGAGCAGCTAGTTGTAGTATGAGTCTTTGGTTGTAGGGCAATCCATTTCCAAAAAAAAACAAGGGAAATCATTTGTTATTGTCACTTATGATGTTTGCGTTTGAATTTCTGTTTCTACTTTTTACATTATTTTGTAGATCATTTTTGAAGCAGAGCGAGGAAAAGGCAGATTTGGAGAGATTGGATTGGACAATGTTATCCTGAACTCTGGACCCTGCCAAGGAGAGATCTCAGAGAATGGTAACTGATAGAGATATATGAAATTTTGAACTCCTGAATTCTTCAGTCTACAAACATGTGTGAACACTAAAACTTACTTCAGACCAAAATGCTCTCCAGCATAAAAGTTGTGACAGATTTCCCACGGCGAAGAAGTAATTTTATTCTGTTGCCTACAGAGTTTTTTCATTGCAGGATTTTTACACATTTGGTTTTTATATTAACTGCTATAAGTACCTTCTCTGTATAATTTTAACACTGTTGTATCAGTTCAGCAAAAATGCTGTGTACGTCAGTTATACACTTTCCCAATGATCTCTAAAAGTAACTACTCAATTTCCAGTTCTTTTACTTGACCTATTGAATATCCAGTTCATCAAATGAATTTTTACTGTCAGGGGTCATTGACAACAGTATTTTGTCCAATCCCATATTATATGCTAACCAAGTAGGGTGATTAAGCACAAGGTTTTTGTAAATGTAAATGTATTAATAAAGTACTCTATGATATTTGGAAAAAAGAACAATGTAATTTGTAAACATGGCACAGTCTTTACCTTTAGGATTTGAAGCAATTTCCTGTAGATTTTAAGGAATGATATTTCCTGGATTCTTCCCTATAATGCCTGGGAAAAATTACTTTAATGGATTCCACAGAGAGGAAAGCAGGGTAGAGTGTTCAGGTTAGGGTTTGACAAAGTTGTCATTGTCCAGATCTGCAGCCCCTCCTCGCTTTGAACATCCCCCAGGATTAGGACGTTCCACAAATGGGAGGAGCTTGGTCATTATTGCAGTAGGTGCAGTTCAGTGTATCTATTTACTTTGGGAAATCCAAGTCTTCTAGCCCCAAACCTCCTCCTGTCATGACTAAAGGATGCCCATTTCTTGTAATACCCCAAGAAGGTAGAGATGCCCTTTGTGCATGAGAACCCTCAGATCAGAGAGTCTGAGATCGTTTTGGCAGGAGGGTGAAAGTGGCCCGAAAATTCTAATTCAGCTTTTATTTCAGGTACCCACAAACCTTTGGGACTCATGGCTTTCCTCCTAATGCTCTCCACTGTCAAGCAGTAGGGTCCTCAAGATTGGTACAAGTGGGAACTGTTAGTTGGAAAAAAAAATCTGGGCTAATGTTTCGCATGGTGGTAAAATACAAGTTCTTTAACAAAAAAAGTGTGAATCCACCACTTTAAAACGACTGCTAAATAATTATCTGTGCCTTGATCTATAACTTCAGTGTTCTGTACCAGTGATGAATTTTGATATAGATATTTTGTATTATTTTTTGTGTATTTGTACAACATTTTGCAATAAAATGTCTCTTTTCAGATAAATGCTCTTTTCTGGACCCAATTACATCGCAACTTTCATTAGCTAAGGCATTGAATATAGGAGTTAGGCAGCTCTGAGGAAGGGTCACTGGACCCAAAAAGTTAATTCCAATTTCTCTCCACAGATGTTGCCATACCTGCTGAGCTTTTCCAGCAATTTCTGTTTTTGTTTCTGATTTCCAGCATCCACAGTTCTTTTGGTTTTTATAGGAGCAAGGATGTCTTGTTACAATTTCATAAAACTTTGGTTAGGCCACAGATCGAATACTGTGTGTAATTCCGGTTACTACACTATCGGAAGGATATGATTGCACTGGAAAGGATGCAGAGGAGATTCATCAGGATGTTGCCCAGAATGGATAGTCTCAGTTATGAGGAGAGACTGGATAGGCTGGGTTTGTTTTCCTTGCAATAGCGGAGGCTGAGGGAAGATCTGATTGAGATATATAAAATTATGAGAGGCATGGATAGAGTAGATCATGAGATACTTCTCCCTCTGGCAGACATGTCTAAGATCAGGGGGGCATACTTTTAAAGTGAGCAACAGTGGTTTTGAGGGAATATGAGAAGAATATTTTTCACCCAGAAGGTGGTAGAAACATGAAACATGTTGCCTGAGAGGGTGGTGGATGAGCACCTAAATTAAAAGGGCATAGTATGCTGTGGATAAAGTGCAAATAAATGGAATTAGTGTAATTTGGTCTTTGTTGGTTAGTATTAACACAGTGGGCTGAAAGGCCTGTTCCTATGCTGTATGACTCTATGACAGCAAAATACTTTGAATTGCTGAGGAAATAGGAGGGTCAGTGACAGGTCTCCTTCACACCCTGTGGATTTGGATAGATCTTGGTTGTTCTTAGCCAACATATTAAACCCAAGATGGTTCTACTCACACTCCTAATTGCTTCAGCAAGACCTAGATTCTCAATAGCACCTGAACTTGCCTAAATAACATCAAACGTTGGTGAGGTTACTTTTGAGTACTGCATGCAGTTCTAGTTGCCCTGCTTCAGGAAGGATATTATTAAATTAGAAAGGATGCAGAAAGCATGTACAAAGATGTTAACGGGACTGGACGGTTTGAGTAATAAGGACAGGCTGAATGGGCTGGGATCTTTTTCCCTGGAGTGTAGTAGGCTGAGGGGTGACCTTATGGAGGGTTTTAAAAATCATGAGAGGCATAGATAAGGTGAGTAGCAAAGGTCTTTTCCCGAGGGTAGGGGAGTTCAAAACCAGGGGGCATAGGTTTAAGGTGAGAGTGGAAAGATTTAAAAGGGACCTGGGGGGCAACTTCTTCAACCAGAAGGTAGTGCGTGTATGGAATGAACTACCAGAGAAGGTGATGGAGGTGGTTACAATTACAACATTTAAAAGACATTTGGACAGGCACATGAATAGTAAAGGTTTAGGTGGATATTAGCCAAACGCAGGCAAATGGGTCTAGTTTAGTTTGGGATACTTGGTTGGCATGGATGGGTTGGATGGAAAGGTCTGTTTCTGTGCTGTATGACTCTATGACAGGTTACATGTGAATAGGACTGGGACTGACATCCTCACAGGGAGATTGGCTGGTGCTGTTGAGGTTGCTTTACATCAGTTTATCAGAGGGTTGGGTACCTGAGGGGTAAGCCAAATTGGAAGGAAGTAACAAAGGCAGGATTTTGGATAAACTTGGCAGGTCTGGCAGCATCTGTGGAGAGAGGAAAACTGAGTGAACATTGAGTACAATATGGCACTTCCTCAGAACTGTAAAAGGGAATATAAAATCCCATCTTCTAGACTTTTGACAAAGGCGGAGGAGGGGAAAAGTGAACAGATGGTGTAGAGATCCAGAGCAAAAGTCAAAGGGATCATTAACGGCAGTGAAAGAGGAGTTGTAAAATTTGGTGTGAAAGGGAGAAAAGAAATCCTCTCAGACAGCAAAGTAAACAAGACACAATAAAGACAAGGCTGTGCAACATGGAAGGGAAAGAGATGGGCAGGGGAAGTGTAATGGGGCTTCTTCTCCTCAGAGCGGAGAGGAGATTTATTTGAGGGTTTCAAAGCGATAAACAATTTCAATTGAGTAGGCGAAGAGAAATGTCTTCATTGACAGGGGAGTCAGTAACCTGATACCACGGGTTTGAGGTAACGAGAATTGTTTGAATCAAGAGGAGTTTAGATAGAGGGATAACAGTTCTAGTGTCTGAAGTATCTGCTATATGAAGGATATTAATAAATTGGAGAGGGTGCAGAAAAGATTTACAAGGATGTTACCAGGACTGGAGGATTTGCGTTCTCAGGAGAGGCTGGATAGGCTGCGACTTTCTTCCCCTGGAGCTTAGAAGGTCAAGGGTTGACCTTATAGAGGTTTATAAAATCATGAGGGGCATAGATAAGGTGAATAGCAAAGGTCTTTTCCCTAGGTTAGGGAATTCAAAACTAGAGGGCATAATTTCAATCTGAGAGGGGAAAGATTTAAAAAGGACCTGAAGGGCAAAATTTCAAACAGAGCATGGTTCACATACGGAATGAACTGCCGGAGGAAGTGATAGATGCAGATATAACATTTAAAAGAGATTTTGGACAGGTACATGAATAGGAAAGGTTTAAAGGGATATCAGTCAAACACAGGCAAATGGGACTAGTTTAGTTTGAGAAACTTGGTTGGCATATGAGTTGGACCAAAGGGTCTGTTTCCTTGCTGTATGACTCCGTGGCTCTAAGAATGCAAGAAAATTAGTCAACATGGTTTTGTGAAGTGAAAATCATGTTGACTAAATTGTTGAAGTTTCACTGGGGATGTTACTAACAAATTGATAATGAGGAATCTATTTTGAAGAATGAGAGTTGAGTTCGTTGAGACCTACAAAATACTTAAAGAGGTAGACAAGCTAGAGGTAGATGTTTCTTCTGGTCAGTGAGTATAGAACCAGAACAATGGCTATGCCATTTAGGACAAAGATAAGGAAAAATTTCTTTACTCAGAAGATTGTGAATCTTTGACATTCACTATTCCAGAAAGCTGTGGAAGTTCAGTCTTTGAGTATTTTTCAAATTTCCTGATTGCCCATGAGATAAAGGGTTACAGTGATAGCGTGGGTAAAAGACAATAAAATGTTTGATCAACCATGATTATATTAATTGGCAGAGAGGACTTGATGGGCAGAATGGCATACTCCTGTTTTCCTATCTTTCTATGGAAACTGCACTTTTACAGGATCTTTTGCATGTTCAGCAGATCAAGGCAATTTAGAACTAATAAAGTGTTTTTGAACTTTGTCAACGTTATGATGCAGGAAAGCAGCAGCCAATCTGCACACAATAAGCTCCCCCAAACAGCAATGAAATAAATGATTTTTTTTTTGTTGATATTGTTTGAGGAAAGCATAAGAACTCCCATATTCTTCTTCAAATAGTGCCACGGGAATATAAAGAAAATAACGCAAAGGGATCATTCAGAGCAGGCTAATAGGCCTCAGTTTAATAGTTCACATGGAAGATTACACCCTTGTCAGATTTTATGTAATATAGACATGATATATTAGAAAAGAGAACATGTAACCAAATAAGATAAAGGATATCAAAGATTGATGGAACAAATAAAAGTAGCTTTTACATTTTTTTTTCTCTCATCTTATAAACAAACCGCAAAAGATATTTAGTCTGAATCACTCTTTGTAACTGCTCTGCAAAGCATTTATGTGCGTATTATTTATCTTCCTAAAATATATATCGAGAGGCATGATGCCTTTGATGAGTTAGATTTGTATGCAGGTCCGAATTGTTGGAGCCTAACTACTGTGGTGGCAAGGTGTTGAAAAAAAACATTATCATCAAATATATCAGGTATAACAATGACTGTTATCAGCCAAGAATTCTTTAGTTCATTATAGACACAAAGTAATATTTTTACTCTCATTACCATGGATGTATTTCATAACTATGAGTTGACCACACTTGTGAGGATACTATCCATAATAAAGTGTCATGTATGTCAGTAAAACTGGCACATTAACTCAGAGCCAAACATCTGCAAAATCATTCATATGCTATGCTAATAAAACCATGCACATTGTAACGCTGCTTATATTCTGAAAATTCTCAAGGGCCAGCTGTTGAATCATTTTACCAGATTGTCACTCATCTACTTTTAGTCTTTCAAATAAAGATTTGCACATTGCTGTACTCCTTACATTTTGCTGAAATTGAATGCCAAACGTCAGCTATTTAACCTGAGAAAATACAGTGAAGTTCCATATGCATCAAAAATAAGTTATGGCTTATGTGCGCATTTTCAGGTTGATACAGTTATAGTCAGCTTTCTGTAGAAACCCCTTAATCTTTCATTTTTTACACCTCATAATTACAATCTTCTGAAAATTTGTCAATAGTCTTGTGGTTATTTCAGTCTCAAGAGGCCGCTGAGAAAGATTAGCCGTTCCACTGCAACGTCCATGCATGTCAGGGAACACCAATTGAGGTGAATTTGATCCACTTCGTCTGAGCATTTAAACAGTTACAGCTGTTAGAATTAGACTAAATTAATCACAAATGCTTCCATGGGCCCAGTGCAGGGTGTTTGGTGCATCTAAGATTGGTTTAACAAATGTTAGTATGGTTTCAGCAAAGACCACCTTCATATAGTAACTTTGGAATAATGGCTGCCAACACAGCAAGACTAATAGGAGGGACTTCAACATGCAATTAACCCAACAATTGTTCTGCAAGTAATAACGTTGGCCTTTTGGGTAATCAAAAGTTCACATCTGTGTGGTAATCAGTTTGAAAAGCACATCTAAAACTTATTTACTCAAAAAGATTTAACCAAGCCATTTTATATACTATGTAAGCAATAAAACACTTTCAATGAGATTCCATGAAAGAGCATAAAGTCAATACACATTTCCACAGTCCAGGAAAATACTCTATGGGGT